AATATTATTATCATCTGACAAAATACAACAAAAATATAAAAAAAAACTACGAAAGAGCAATCGATCATGACATTTATTTTAATGCATTTAAATGAAACGATCGTAGATAAATTATTTCACGAGATTTGAATACGAGTTTCATTTAATATAAATGATAATATTTAACGAACACAAAATTTGTTTATTCGATACGACTGAATGAGAAGAGATAATTTTGTTAAAAAGCTCAACTCCATCGAGTTTATTATTTATGAGAGTGACTGTGAAACACGACGACATCTTCGAGGACGCGTTTATATGGTGTAGAAGTGTTTCATTCATGAAACCTTGCAACACGAACGTTATACGCTTGATTACATAAAGTTATATTTAAACTTTTTCGAATCTCTCATAGCAATAGTAATCCGGAAAATGATTTCAAATATCGAATTTTATTTAATATATTATTATAGTATATTATTTTTTGGTCTAATAATATTTATATAATACGTGGGTGTGTTAACAAGTTATCAGCTTCAATAAAAATATCTTAGTTTTGTTCTTTTTTGTTTTTTTTTTTTTAAATAAAAATTAATTTGACCGAAAAGAAAAATTGTTTTCAATGTAGGGGGGCTGAAAACTTTCTAAATCTATTCATGTATATAACGAAAAATGATTTTCAATTATTATATTTCTATATTTGATATAGAAATTAATTAAATATAAATAATAATGATAGAAATACGGAAAGATGACAATAAAAGTTTCGATACACCACCTATTGCATTTACAATTACATACTTATAAATTCTATCTTTTACAAAGTTAATAGTTTAAAAAAAAAAAATCATAAAAACGGGGAAAATTGTACAAGTTAATTGTCCATTTAATGCATTTCCAAATATTTCATATACTAGCAAAAATGTGTACCCAAATTTTTATTCGATAATGTATATTTAAATTAAATGTATTTATATATATATATATATATATATATATATATATATATGTATCTATACCACACCTTAAACTCTCGTTTTCACTATGTCCCGAGATTAATCATAAGAACAAAGAGAAAGAGAAAGAGAAAGAGAAAAAGATAACTACAATGAACACGAAAGTGAAAAAGAAAGAGAGAAGGTACGAAGCAACAAGCAATCTAGGGAAAGTGCTGTCCTACTTGCACACCGTTCACTGTTACCATCGTTCCTCTACCAGCCATGACCGATCATCATCGATAATATTATATTTAACGACAAAAAAAAAGAACATCTATAGAAAAACTGTACATTGGTCAGTTTTCATGGTGGACTAATAAAAAGCTTCGAAAAGAAAAATTATCAGAATTCGGACGTTATGTTTACATTAGCAAATTTTTTTTTATCGATATATATAATTTGTATTTACGTAAGTGTATATATATATATATATGTGTATGTGTGTCTCTCTTTCTCTCTCTTTTTCTCTCTCTCTGTGAAAAAGATAAAGAATCTTCTCCTTTTAGATATAAAAAGAAATAAAAAAAAAAAAAATAAAAAAAAAAAAAGACTTTTCCTTTCAACGAGTACCTGAGACCCGACCGGTTTATTCTCAAACCTTTTCTTATCGTCCTCGAAGAAACTTGAACGTTAAATCGGACTTCACGGTTATCTGGAATGCGAGAACGTAATGCATTTCTAGTTTCATTATCTTCGCGTATCTTTTTCTGTTCGCCCTTCATATGTAAAGTATGACGTCAAGATCAGAACAATGTTTTCAGTTATATTCGTTTCTTACAGATCTGATCGAAAATAAATTTATTATCTTATCTTATTGTTCTCGATGAGAAAATAAATTCTACACGACTTATATATTTTATATTTTACAATTAGATAAATAATATACATATATATATATATTATCCAAATTTTACTTTACGAAGACAAAAAATTGAAAATGTAACTTTTGATTTTGATTATCAAAATTTTGACAGTAAAAATATTATATATTTACGATTTGATATTCGAAATCGTTCGTACACGATTTGTATTAATTTGGTATAATTACGAGAAAGAGAAAAAAAGAGAGGGAGAGAAAGAGAGAGAGAGAGAGAGAGAGAGAGAGAGAGAGAGAGAGAGATCATATACATAATAAAAATATACATTTGAATAATTTTTATCTCGATCACAGAATATATGTATATAATTTAATTATCACAACGGTCGAAACAACTTGTTTGTCAGAAAGAGTCATTTGCAAAAACTCCAATGATTAGATTACGTATTCTCTCGCAAAATGTAAAACAATAATTATGCGGTATAAAAGATTCGTCCGCAACAAGATCGCGCGTGACAAAATTATATTAACAATATAGAATGTAGAATGATAGGGACAATTAATTATTATGAATGACTAAGCCAATCGAACAGTTAAGTGGTAACAGAACGTTAACCCCCCAGCCCCCCCCCCCCTATAATTCTATGTTAACTATAAAGTTTAACAGTACAACATATACATATACATATCTATATATTTTATAGCATTTTAATTTGTTCGTTATATACAAATTTGTTTTTTTATATTTTCCAGTGCAGAGCTTTTTTTTTTTGAAGATGTGGTTGTACCTTGCATCTCTGCTGCACTTGTAATTCATATTTTGTTTACACATTTTGCTGAAGACGCATACAGTTCGAATAGTAATTGGTCGTATTTTAAACTATTGTTAAACTTTTATTTTTCAACTACATTCAGGTTATTTAAAGACTTAGAAACAGTTGGCTCGTTAATACGTATTAAAATAAGCTAAGCAGGTTATTGTATCGAAAAGAAAAATATCAAAGTTATTTTCATTCTTTCTTATTAACAATTACTAAATGTATATACTATAAGTACTTACCCAATTATATTTATTTAGAGAAATGGATGACCAACAATTAGAGAATACAAAAAAATACGAACGTAAAGAAACCCGACGTGAGATGATGGCGAGAAAAAGATTACAATTGAGACAACTTTTTGCGAGGGAATTAATTGAACAGGAAAAGTTATTACGTGAATTGGGCTATAGTTTCATTAATACACATCATTGATTATATTTCTTTTTATCGTAATTTTTCGCGTCGTCTCTTTTTCTATTTTTTTTTTTGTTTTATCTTTATAAATTGATTAAAGTTTGTTCACTGAAATATATTTTATATGGTAACAATCCTGTAAAGAAAATATTGCCTTAGGGAGCATTTATTATAATACGTTAATGTTACATATACGTGTTTGCATTTTTGTGATGTAATATAAATAAAATAGAGATATATCTTACAAGGTGTGATAATGAGTGAAAATAGATTGATTCTCCATATTTTCTTAGACATTGAATCTTTCATTCTTAGACTTTGGTAAAAGAGTTCAAACCGAAAAATCATACTAATTGTCGAAAACAAATGTTTAAAAGTTTAAACTCCTTTAAAAAATCTTACTGTATGTACACTTTGTAATAAGAATATACGTCTAGAGACATATTCTTCTTTTCTCTTTTTTTTTGTTCATTTTTGTTTTTCTGTTGTATTTTACTTGTACATGATAGTATCATCAAAAAGTATATTAATGGCAGATATTTCCTTGTAATTAAATTCTTATATAAATATTTTGAGAATAATCATGAATAAATACAGTACAAGTCATGTCTAATGTAAATTGAAATGAAACATTTAAATAATAATATTAATAATAATAATAATAATAATAATAATAATAATAATAATAATCAATTGGTGAATTTGACTTGCACAGATTAGATCGAAAAGTTCTGCGTTTGAAAATACAATGCAAATTGAAATTACTAATTGTATAAATACAATATACTTTCTAATGGACGGCATAATACAGTATGCGCGTTATATTTAACGTTACGAGCTTTCTACGAGTTCCTTTTTTTTTTTTTTTATAATAGGACATTCCATATTCTCTTTCTTCTTTGTCTTTGGATTATCAATCGTCTCTTATATCATTAGGAACAATATAACTTGGTGTATAATATAATGATTAGAAATATAAAGTACATTTACAGATCGGTTAACATTCTTCAAACAACAATTATGAATATTCAACCATACACGGAATGTCCATGAAGTTAATTTTTGATTCTTGACAAACATTGAAACATTAATATTTAATGTGCTACATAAAAGAGAGTAATCATTAAATTATCACATTATTAATTCATTAACAATATAATTATCTCTTTCTTCTTCGTGTTAAATGTATGTGTATACCATACCATTTTGTTAATCACAAATCGCTTTAGCAATAATAATGACATTTTCATTACTCTCTCGGTCATGTTATTTTACAATTAAGCTCGCTACGTGTCTCGACAAAGTGCACTTTGAAAATATATATGTAAAAATAATATATGTTCTATTAATTAGAACAAATGTTATCTTTCGTTTAGTACTAAAGCGTAAGTTAATTTACTATCCATTGAAGAACACTGGTGTCACCTCCACCTGTAGACACCAGTCTTGTGTCATCTTGAAGGAACGATACATTTGTTACATGACTTGAGTGACCACCGTAGCTATGATGTAATGACTAAAAAGAAATTTTCAAATGTCTTATATGCATATATATAATATTTATTATTAGTAATTATTATTTTTTTAATATATTACTTTTGGTTGGCACGCAGGATGTGAGAATAATTTAACTTTCCCAAAATCATCTCCCGTAGCAAGAAGTTTCCCATCTCCACTGCGACTGCAATTATTAATATCTGTACCATCTGCACCTTCTGGCCAAATACCAATTGTTTCAAAAGATATTATGCAGGTATGAGTTGCCCAATTGACATCTTTAAGTGAGGAGGGTTGAGATATTTGACGACAAATACCAGGATTCCCTATAATATAATTTATAATATATAACATACGCAAATAAACTTCTTTTTTATGGATAATTATTAATGAGATCATATATACTAACAAAATAGAAGTTCATAATCTCCGCTATTGCTACGCAAATATTGTCCATCCATCGACCAATCCAAATGAGTTATGAAACTAGAATGTCCCTGGAAAATAATAATGATGCACATATATATTTCAAAATGAATCACATAATAATTTGCAAAATCATGAAAATTTGTGGGAAACTATAATTCGTTCATTTGTTAATTGGAATAAATTTTTTTTTAAACACAGACGAACTTTTTCCTGTTTCGATTATTATGCGTTTAGATATTTTTAACGGATCGTGAAATATATTGTGAAAGCGGGAATTACTACTATGCGTGCTAATGTGAAGCAATTTATCTACAAATTTGTAAATAATATTTATTGTAAAATGTGAGTCGTGTTTTTTGTTTTTTTTTTTATATATATCAACATCATATATTTTTTTTGTACTCTCAAAAGCAACCCAAATATAAATCTTACTCCGTGCCTTCGTATCCGCTTGGGCTAAACAGGAAGAAAAGAAATACATTAAGTAGCTATGTTCAATTGAATGTATAATTATACAAAAAATTGCCTAATTTAGCGTTTATAACACGACCGTTAAATAAAGTAACATTAAGATGATTAAAAGTTTATTTACAAGCTATATAAAATGATAATTATTACATGATGTCGAATGATCAATATACAATGAAAATGATATGCAATCAATGATTATAATAATTATGAAAATATAAATGAACATACCATACATCTACCGACTCTACTGTATTTAGTAGCATCTTCATTAACTTGATATATATAAATATAATTATCTCTTGAACCAAGTGCTAAGAGATTTCCATTTGGGGAAAATGTAACCACCTTTTTAACGAACAGAAAAAAATATTTTGATTTAAAAAAATTCTCTTTCATAAAAATATATATATATCATCATAATTTAACTAACTTGAATTGGTTCTGATCCGTCTGTATGATGAGTATAAAGTTCACGCGTTTCGCTATCAATGGCCAACCATTTTCCAGATACGCAACCAACTACCATAACGGTACCCTCAGGAGAGAAACCGATGCTTTGTGCTTGTTCCTGTATAGAAATTTACAAAATAAGGACTATTCTGAAATCATTACTTCAAACTCTATGCGCAAATAAATAAATTATCTAATAAAGAAATAATATAATATAATATTAAAGAATATCACGAACATACCCCAATATCTTTACTCCATACCACAGTATGACTAAGACTATCCCACATTTGTAACAATCTATCGTGACCTGCTGTTGCGAATTGAGGTAATATAGGATGAGCTGCCAATCCCCAAACTTCTTCCGTATGTCCTAACATCGCCGGATTGAATCCCATTTCTATATCTCCAATGAGAATACAATTTTTAGTAGTACCAATCAATAATTGTGAACCTCTACCTTCTGATAATGTACGAATTCCTCCAAAATGATCTTCAATCTATAATTCAATTATACAAACCTTTTATAATCTGTGCGATAAAAAAAAAACAATCGTGAAAATAATAATCTTTTTATTTACTTGTGATTCTTCTCCTGTCGGATTTAATGATCCATCAAAGTGCAATATTCTGCCATCCTTTCCACCTCCAGTAATAACATTTCCATTTTTCAAAACGCATATAGAAAATATCGATCCTTCGTGTAGATTTCTAACCAATCTGGAGATTGTGTTGGTGCCTTGATTTATAAACACAAATTTTGTTTAAAAAGATTTAATATACATTTATATATGTATATTAAAAATAAAACAAACAAAATTACCTCTTGCCCAAACAATAATGTTGCCATTACTGTCGCCGGTAAGAACGTCTCCATTTTGATTGAAAGCGACACACGTTACGTATTTTGGTTTCTCTCTACTTTCAAATATACCCATTCTTTTATACAACATACCGCCACTATCCAAGGACCAGAAGGATACGTGCCCTTTACCGCATGAAACAATTTGATTTCGTTCGAGGGGATGCCATTCGGCACAGACAACCGTGTCGACGGAACACTGCAATTCATTATTATTAATATTATTATTATTATCTATTATTCAGATGTTTGATAATATTTTTGTTCCCGTTCTAAAAAAATATATATGCATATTTATTTTTCACCGTATATTTAGAACGATGTTATTTTACAACAAATGAACAAAATGATATCGTACAAAATATTGTAACAGGACTAACTAACCTTCGTTTCGGTCAATTTAGAACCTTTGTCACTTTTTTGCCAATCCCAAATTGATATATTATGATCGGACGTTTCGTCGATAGCACATAAATAATTACCACCGTCCGCTTTCGAAAATGACAAACAACAAATCGATCCGTCGAACTCGCCGTTACCAATAACGCTCAGTGTGGCTAAACTGACCGAATTCCATATTCTTATGCGTTGCTATAAATAGAATATATATTTATTTATTAATATGATACTACATTTCAAATTATTAATGGAGTATTATATATATATGTATATATTACCGTCATAGCCGAAAATACGCCATTGCTAGTAATTCCTCGGCATTCTCATCAATGCAAAGCGCATTCCGATGAAGTCGGAAACAGAAAAATTCTTACAGTTTTTCCTAACCATTGAATATAATACTTTGATATTCTATAAAATATCAAATTACTATTTAAATTGTACAACTTTGCTAATGTTTTGAAAAGTTTTGGTAAATACTTTTTATACTAAAAGTGAATAGATTTGAATGAAACTTATATTAAATTAAAGTACACTCTTTTATCTTCGTCGGAAGGCGCTTTGCCTTGATAACAATGCCGAGGAATTACTAGTAATGACTGATTTCCGGTTTGGACGGTGACATATACATCTTACCAGTGCATCACGTCGATCTAAGCCACAGGTTTGCCCAGTTGCAACTACCATTTTATTTGGGTGTATCGCAATACTGGAATTTGATAAAGAAATTTTGCAAATTTTTTATTATAAAAATAATCTAATCTAAGTTATATATATATATATATATAATACATAATATGTATACAATATGAGGGTGGTAGTTTTCTAAACAAACTGCATAGAATATTTGTATTAATTTTTACTTGTAAAATATGGTCCGATAATTTGACCAGGACATCCTGTATAAACGATACATATCTTTCAAAAGTTTATATACTTATATTATATACATATAACGCGCAGATCGATATAAAACAAAATTAAATTAATTTATATTTTATAATTAATTCGTGGTACATTATGTCAATGCAAACGAATTCTAACTTACCATTTAACATCATCCGTGTGGCCCAAATAATGTCTTTGACTGTGTTCTTCCATATTATAAAGGACCACCACCGCAGCAACGAAATAAACGATCTCGCCAGTTGGTAAAAGATGTAAATTACTACGACAGTCTCTCCCTCGATATCCATAGACCCAATCTAATTTCAGTTTACTTTGGGGTGGTGTTGTTACTTTGTGAAGATCGTAATGATCTATCATAGGTGTTGGAACGTATAGAACGACTGGTCGTCCTCTTAGGTACATACGAACGGTACCTTCCTCCTCGTTGTATTGCATATCTCTGGTACTGTCAAATATAACATTTATATTGTTCATTTTATATAATTAATCAGAGAGCGAAAGAAAATAATTGAATTAAATTAATGAATGGCCAATCATCGATAGATGATCGATCGTACATGTTAACTTTCACGAAATCACGAAATAATTTTCACTTTTATCACGATTACATATACATAATATGTTTATCCTATGTATTCCTCGTTAAATTCTTTCGATAATCCAATAATTAAAGGTAATTAATTCAATCACTTTCCAAAATTCTCGCGTGCGACCAGAAAATTCGAGGGATCGTAAATTGGTTTCCAAGAGAGTCAGCAGACCGCACGAACCGAACGTTTTCCTTCTGAGGCTCGATTCACGTGGGTGTGTCTGACACACGTGTTATCTATCTCAACACGTATAAAAGGTATCAGGTCGTAATTACATCGTGTATGAGTTACGTCACTCTACCGGTTCAGAACGAAACACAAAAGACGTTCTCTGTTTTTTTTTTTGCGACTCGACCGAAAATCGAAGGTTTTGGATATTTCTTTTTTTTTCATTAATTTGCAAAATCATTTTCTCTTCAATTTTTGTACACGTAAATGTACATAAAACCAATTTTCAAATGACTAATTAAAGAATCCAATTAAACTACATCATCAAATAAATTGTAATGTTAATATTGAGAATATATTTATACAAGGAGAAATCGATTGAGACGGGGGTGGGAGGACGAGGGGAAGGGGATCCAATTTTGGTTACTTTCTCTTACTATATCTATAGATTGACCCGTTCGTATAGCTGATTTTCACGAATATATATATATATATCATATTTCCAGGTAAAAGATTATTATTTTGTAATATTGTGTTCACGATTAGAATTTATTCCAGGAAGTAAAGAATACTCATTGAATTCTTCTATTCATCATAATTGGCGCAATGAGATAGTTCACGTAGATTATTACCTGTTATACTGAATCGGATGATCAAACGAGATGCTTGGCCTCGGTTGGTAAAACAGGAACAAGAGAGAAAGAGACAGCAAGGATATATATTGTCTGGCTCTTTCTCAAACGTGTCCTTCGAGTCTTTCTTTTCGATTTCGCAAATGTACGAGAGACACGTTACTTTTTATTATTATTATCTCGTTATTGTTATTATTATTATTATTATTACTACGTATGTTCGTTGGAACGAAAGGATTGTTCGGTAAGAAACGTTCAACTGTGCGGCTCGCGCATTACTGTGCAACCGAGAAACCACTCCTGATTTTTCATAATGACGCAGCTTCTCCCCTCTCTTTAAACTGCCTTTCAGTGGCGTCTCTTTATTTCTTCTTCCCCCTTTTATGGGGTTTTTTTTTTGTTTTTTTTTTTAGAACGATCGTACAAACCATTGGCATGTGCATGAACAAAATTATATCACAGGCAAGACTTTTTCTTTTCCTCTTATTCATTTTCGTACAATTAAATGTTTTCATTTTACAATTAGATTTTTTGTGATAAATCGAAATATTAATTACAATTTAAAATCTCATGTTAATTATATTATATTTTGTTATCAATCCGACGAAGACACACCACACACACGACTCGTGCAAAATTAATTATTAATTTATTAATATTAACCAACCTAGGTATGTATATTCGTTCAGGTGAAAAGGCAGACACGAGTTTTTTTTTTTTTCTTTTTTTTTTTAGAAACTTCGTTTCAACTTTTTTTCGCCGCTTTGTTTTTATTCCATTTTTGAGTCACTATCTTTTTTTTGTTTTACTTAGTTACAACACGTTTTCTATGTAACTCTGACGTTGAGTGTGTGTATGTATGTATGTATGTATATACGTATGTTCTCACTTGATTATGTTAGCGTTGATAATCACATTAGATTGAAGGTTTTCCCGATTAACCTGACCTTTCATTGCATATATCCGTATCACCGATGTTCAATCAACGAGAAAAAAAATACAATACCTCTTTTCCTGTATTTTTTGTTCTGCCTTTTTTTTTTTTTTTTTGTGTGTTCTCTTTTTTTAATAGAGAAAATGACCTACTATACTATGAGATTATAAAATCACGACTCTCTCTCTTTCTCCCTTTACATTCACACAATCGGTTACTTCCCATGAAGGCTATCAACACGATCACGCTTGTAGACACAACGAAAACGTCGTTGTGTAAGAGCAGGAATCATTCTACTCACTTTCTTCGGTAACGCAATAGTGCACTTCGCACCGCCGTGTTAAATGAAACCGACTATCACGTGGTGTATGGCTTCGTCATGTTTGCCACTGGTAAAATGATGCTTCGCGAAATCTTCGACACAATGATCCGAATTATTTTTCATATTTATTATTATTATTATTTTCTTTATCATTAATCTGAGTTTCTAATTTAATAGAAAGAAACAAATGGAAAGGCAAAAATACACACACACACACACAGAGAAATGGTTATTAAAAAAAAAATAAAAAAAAAGCCACTGGAAACCATATGCATTGTTTTCTCTCGACTCGGTAGAAAGAACGAGAACAATCCTTTAACGCGTGTTGTGGCATTTACATTTGAAAATAGACATTTTCCTTGCAACTGGCCAACTAGCACAACCAACAACCTAGTCAACGAAGGAAGCTACATACATCACTAACCCCCTCACGCAAACACACACCCCTTTTTTTCGTTATAAATTATGCATTCACGCCTTTCAATTTTCATTTCTCTTTACAAAGGCGCGAACAAGCATTTCCACATCTTCCTGAAAAAGATTCTGGTCGTGTTTTCGTGAATAGAATAATTTCTTTGCACGCGAGGTCACATAGATCAGCTTACCAAAGTTACGTTAACTTCACGTGTGTTCGATGGAATAGAGTAAAGGGTGGATAATGAACGTTTATCGTGGCTGCCTTTTGACCTGAAAAACTTTCAGGATTCTCGTAGAAATACTCACGAGATATATAAGCTGGAAATAGCTGGGATTCTTCCCCATCTAAATAGAGTAGTCCGTTGTATCGTAAAACACACGCACGTATTATTGTATTTCTAACTCGTGCGATTGTTAGCAGCACGTGCGATAATACGAGATAATAAATACGACAATAATAATAGAAAAACGTAGGGGGGGGGGATGATTGCGTGATAATGTTAAATTGAAACCAACTAGGCAAACTTTTTCTTTTTCTATTTACCCGTGTTTGACGTTGTTCAGCACCGCGGGCTTGAAGAGGTTGAACAGGGACTTGGTTGATGCCGATAATCTATAATAAACGAAAATGCAAAAACGAAAAACCATGCCGTGCAAAACAAAGGAGAATATTAATAAACGAAAATAGTATATAAAACACAACGAGAAAAATAAATCGATCCTCGAAGCACGTCGAACACCACCTGTTTATTTATTATAATATTAATCGCGTGTGGTATAAATATTGTTAATTATTATCAAAGATAAAAAAAGAAAAATAAGAAATGATCGACGAGCTTTGAGTGTATCACCACGTGTAAAAATAAAATAATAATAATTATAAGAAAAGCATAACACACGATTCTATTGCAGTGTGTTGTAAAACAATAATAGTTAGATATGTAAACACGAATATAATAGAAAACCAAACAAAAAAGAAAATAAGGAAAAGAAAAGAAAAAAAAGAAACATTAATAAAGTGCGAAAATGACATATGTATGACGTATGCATTATATTTAATGTGCATAATGAAATTTATCGACCTACCTTGCACCAACGAGTTGAGAATTGCTTCCTTGATTTTGGGGAGAATGCGTAAAGTCTCCAGTTGATGACCACCTTTTTGCTCTTCGCAAGCTACTCTGTGGTGGACCATTTGACCTTGTCGTGGGTGACCTAACGATCGAAGAGTCGACAATTCGAATTTAATGAAAATATTATCAAATCAAATAATTTTGTTAACATTTAGGCCATTGTGCCTTGTCAGTCCTGTTCTTCCCCATTTTTCATTTTTTATTATTAGAATCATTTAAATCCTTACACTCTCGTTTGGTTTATACGCCAGTTATTCAGGATACTTTCGGTTATGGTCGAGCAAACGTAATACATAGGTAAATAGTACATACTCTATTAGCATTCCAAGCGAAGTTTCAAAGATGGAAGCTGATAAACGTGAAAGGCTCTCTTGCTAATTTCTAGGTAGAGGGGAAAGGGTAGGGGGCGAGGGGGGAAATGACTTACCTGGCTATTGGTAATGGCGTGGCTCGTGGACTTGGTGATGGCACCGGTGAAACGCTACTACTGCTAGGGCTATCCGAATGTAAAGAACCCGTTGATTGATAATGGACCGATCTTCTAAAAATATTATTATTCGTGTCCAATTACTATCAATTATTATTATTATTGTCAATGTATTATAATAATATATTCGTGAGAAAGAAAAATTAAATGATTATTAATTATATTAGATTATATTTTTGAAAAATTTCAAAGAATACGAATAATTATGTAATTATCATTTATTCGATGTGTATTCATAACGTTATTGACGTTAATTGATATATTTAATTAATTAATTAATTATTATTATACCTCTGTGGTAGTTGCGAAGAATGCGAATAACTGACAGGTCTCCTAGGACTTGAGTTCGCATCCTGAACATCCTGAGACGATCCAGATGACGATGAGTTTCTAACATTGGTACCACCACTTTGACGTAAACGCAAATCTTTTTGAGGTACCGAATTTTGATTATCTAAAACGAATATAGGATATGTCTAGAGTACACGAAAGATTTTTAACGAAAAAAATAATAATATCAAAGGTGTGTCGTTTAGTTTAGTTTATTATCGAGATAGGAAAAAGAAAAATAAAATCAAAAATCAAAAGGAAAATTATAATATTCTTACTTCTAAGAGAAACATGGCCGTTTCTTAATGGCGAGGATACCATTCTCTCGTTTCTCCTCTCATTTCTTTCATCCTCTCTCTTATCTCGTCCTTCGAGCTGAGAAATTCGCCTTAACGCGTCCGCCAAAGTAGCACGAAGACAAACTATCTCGTCTCTTTGCGCCAAGGATTGCCTTTCGAGGTCTGCGACTCGACCCAACAAGGATCCAGTCTCGCATTCCAACATTTCGTCTGAGAAAAAAGAAAAAAGAAAAAAATAACGAAAATAATGTATAAGTTAGAAATGATAGAACACGATAAAACGCGAGATATAAATCAATAATTATTTGTTATGATTTTATATATATATATGATATTTCTTATTGGTTAAAGTATATCATTTTTCAAGTATTAAATAAATTTACAAATTTTGTCTCTTATTATACGGTTGAATAAATGTTTAAATACGTTACGTTGTTTATATTTTTTCTTTTAAATAATGATTGTTTTTCTTCCAATCACTGTTCTTAAAATCTTTGACAGATTTTAATATAATATCTTTATACATTTTCATATCCCAAAAAACATATAAATAATTTTTCTCGTTATATAAATTATAATTATAAATATTGTATTATATTTATTATTTAACATCGATATATTAAATTGATTAGAACATTTGTATTGAATTTAAACAAAAATATAACATCTGTATTGATAGGAAATAAACGTACTGTTGGTAGGTGTAATGTTAATATAACGATAAATGATATCTAACCAATCCTAATGTGTTTGAATTTATACAGCTGTGATAGAAAGAAAATCAGAAATATAAATACGTAAAAAAAGCACACGACAATATCATCAAATGTAAAAGAATAAAGGACAAAATATCACATTTAATTTAATAACGATTAATTATTAACACATACCTTATATTAATTACTAATAATTCCCTTTTTGTGAAATCAATTCAAATGTGTGAACACGTATTAAAGAAAATATTTGGATGAGTGTGTTCTCGTACTATGTACTCACGCCATGCTTGCTCCGCCTCGTCGATTGTATCCATCGTGTCCGGCGTGGACATTGCGATTAACCCTTGCGATGACCCCGGCGTATTAATACGTTATTCAATTGAATAGATTAACGAACGCAAACAGAGCCAATGTACTCTCCGGCGCCATATTCTTTGATTATTTTCAAACGACAACAAAAAAAAAAAAAAAAGTAACTTTCTTTCACTACCTTGCACAATGTGAATTATTTTTTTCTAATGAAATCTATTTATATATCTTTTATCAAATTATTTATTAATTTTTTCTTTAATAAAGATTCTCTTTTTTTAAATATATATATTATAAGATTTTCATCGTTTCCGTTTATCGTGGTACACTTTCGACGTAATCGTAATCATGCGTGTTATTATTGTTGTCCTTGTCATAACAATATTCACGAACGAAACGAAACTTTTCAATAGCATCGTATTTGTTAATCTAACTAACATGAAGGATTAATAATACTTTGATATATCATCCGATAATCATCTTTTTTATTTTTTCATATGTAGGTAAAAGGGAATTGAATAAAAAAAAAGAAAATAAATAATAAAAAGACACGACGGGGGATTGGTGAAACATTTGATATCGGTCGAGTAGTCGTGACTCGTCGGTTTCGTCGCCGATAAATACGAGCCAATTAGCGTCGTGCAATTAGCGTTAGAAAGCTTCTAGTCGTTGCAAGTTATGTACACAGAAACGCACATATACTCACTCACTCACTTGCTCACCCATCCACCCACACGTACACACACTTGATTCTCTTCTTGAACGAACGGCACGAGGTAAAAGATAAGAATCTACGTTTCTTTTTAAATTAATCCTCTCTCTCTCTCTATTTTTATTACTTTTAAAAAACACGAAAGATCGTCGTTCGAGAAATTGTGCAGAAAAAAGAAGAAGATTATTTAAATATTAACAAAAAACGAGAAACTTCGTAAAAAAATCAGCACGAACAAACGTCCGCGACTGGTAACTTAGACGAACTTTATAATAATACTCGTGTTTCCGCGTGTCGTACCTCTCCGAGAGGCGTAGTTAGACGAATTGCGTTATGTAAGATAACATATCTATATGTCTCTTTCTCTATTTCCTCTCACTTACTCTTTCCCTAGACTTCACGTACAATTCACTCACTCATTCGTTCGTTTCTTCGTTCATTTGCTCTCTTTCTTGTATCTACTGCTACCCAACTACAACAACTCTCTCTTTTTCTCTCGTTCTTTCTCACTCACTCAGTCACTCTTTCTCTCTCTTTCTCTCTCTTTCTCTTTCTATCTTTTTCCCATCTTTCTTTCTCATTCACTGGTTCGTTTGCTGTTTCTCTTTTGAAGTTATGGAAAAGCATATGGAGCTTCCCCTTCCCATTTTTACGCGCCGGTGATTTCCCTTACCGCGTGGAAACGACGATAACCGACGAGACGGATGGATGATCGACCAACGTTCGTTCACTCTCTATTTCTTTAGTTTTTTTTTTTTTCTTTTTTTTTCTTGTCTCTTTCTAACCCTTGTAACTTCCCTTTTTTGTCTTTCATCCCCTAACGTAACGCGTCTTTTTGAAAAAAAGAAAAGAAAGTATCAGAGGGAACGAACGATACTCGATCGAGCTTGCCTTTTTACTTCTTTTTGTGTGTGTGAGTGTGTGTTTTTTTTTTTCGACAGTGGATCTTTTCGTTCTTGTTACTTTCGTTTTTAGTCCTTACGATTTATTTCATCAGTTATCACAAAATTAATAATTAAAACATAAACTGTTTATTGGAATACACATTGATTCTTAAGATTCACACGGGATTTTCAATTGATTTCTTTTTTCTTTTCTTAATTTTGTTGTTTTTATTTATTAGATCTCTTTCTCTCTCATTTATTTCATTTTTGGACATATGTTTGTTGTAGATATTTCACAGAAATATATTTATTTAAATGAAAAACTTTTCTTATTCCTTTGCATTGACTTTGATTTTTTTTTAAATTAAACTTATCATTAAAAAATAAAATCGAATTAAAACGTTAAACGCGTTTTGACGTATCGGATGGAGAAAAAAGAAGAAAAAGAGACAAAAAAAAAAAGGTATTTGCCACGAGTTTGATAAATGTAAACAACGATCTAACACGTCTACTAGAGCGTTTTGAACATTCGTCTTTCTATCTGCCTTTTTTCTTTGAAATCGATTGAAAGTTCTTTGAACGCGAGAAACCTTCAATGCTTCTATACGACTCGAAGAAAATAAAAAAAAAAAGAAATAAATAAGATAATAATAAAAGACCAGATAAATAAATAAATAAATAAATAAATAAATAAATAAATAAATAATAATATTATATTATATTTTTAACACGATCGCGCGTAATTTTATTTTCTATCGCGGCACCGACACTTTCGCGTACAACCAAACAAAAAAAATATACATATATATATATTCAATTTATTAATAATATTTTCTTGTTATCTTTCTCTCTCTCCCCTTCATTATTCCACTTTAATTATCGTTAAATATAAAATAATTAGTTCTTTTTATTTTTTATTTATTTTTTTTTTCATTAAAGTAACACGTTCGAAAACTAGACTTTAATTCTGCACACGCGACACGTGTGTTTTCCCTGCAGTCGCCCCGACGTTACTGTCTGAGCTGACTCCAGCTGCTTTAGACGCGATCAATACGTTCTAGATAGTCGAGATGAACCAGATAAAACGCAAAGCGCGTTAACTGTAGGATACCGAGATCACTTATATACATATACACATAATATATATACACATTTACGTGATTATACATACGTGAGTATACATTTACGCATTTACCAAACTAATCGAACTAATAATACTTGATTATTTCGAATAATTTTCTGGATAAGATAGTTTATGCTACAACCAACCCCCCTCCTCACCCCACCCACACCCCCCACACTCTTTTCTTCCCACTCTCCTTTTATTTTTCTTCCCTACTCTTTTCTATTCTACTTTCCTTTCCTTTCCTATACCACCCAACCCCACCCCACCCCACCCCCTTTCGTCTTCTTCTCTTTTTATCTACGATATTTCAACTTCGATTTTCTCCCTTTGACGATCGTCCTGAATAAAGGATAGGTCGTATCCTGTATTATAATGGCGCACCCTCTTTTGATATTACCAATCATAATACGTAAGCTCCGGATGTCGTTTCGATTTAGTTTTGCAATAATAATAATAATAATAATATGATCGTTTTTCTATTGCATTTATCTTTATATTTTTATCATGTGTCGTGTTTTATTTAATCCAATTTTATTTTTTTACCTCGTCTCATTTATTTCACTTCTTTGTTAATTTTTTTTCATTCGCTCCCATAAGTGTGTTTTAGTCTTATTTTTATTTTTATTATTATTATTATTATTATTATTTCAATTTAATTCGTCATCTCGAGTACGTTTTATTATACTACTGCGTTCACGTTTATCCAGGAATTTATGGGGGTCGGATGGACGCAAAGGATAATATTTGCGACGCCAGGATTCTTCGTCGGTCACCATGGTTATCTACGAGCTGTCATGGTACACGTTTCATGTTATACGCGTCCTTATATTATATGAGAACTTATCATTTTCTTTTTCCTTTTTATTTTTTCTCTCTCATGCCTCGAAGAATTTAATATTCGTACATTATAATTTAATGTGTAAAAAATCACATAGATTTTATTATTGATTTCATATTTTTCAAACTTTATATGAATAAATTTCGAGATTTCTCTTTTGCAAAAAATTCACAAAAAATAATAAATTTATTCTTTAATAAAAAGAAAATTTATAAAAAAAAAATAAAAAATGTTAGAAACAAATTTCATTGTATAAATAAATATATAAATGTTTTTAAAGAATATTTATATAAGCGATCAACGCGTTAATATTGTTTATTAAATTATACATACGATAATTGTTATCTCATTCTCTCTTTATATTTAGAGTGGAATATCACCATAGGATGGTCACAGATGATTAGTTTTAAATTTTAAAAACTTCATTTCAAAAAGTTGTTCAAATTTATCTCTCCTTTGTGACACTTTGCAAAACTAACGCTGTGTAATTTATAATAATTAAAATATACATTATTTATACAAAAAAAAAATACGAATAAAAATGTCATTATATATAAAGTAATATTTTTAAAAATGTTTAGCAATCAACGTGCTAATAATTCGTTTATTAAATTATATATGTCATCTTTTCTTTCTTTCTTTTTTTATCTAGTTGATATGGTATAGATAAAAAATAAGATGAAGAAGAAGAAGGAAAAGAATTAGTTCGACGAGGACGAAGACGTATGCGAAGATATTTATAGGTTGAAAATTCGCACATATGTATTCTCATCGTAGGCGTGACTCGTTTATGCGTAGGTGGCGCATAATTAGATACGTAACGTTAATAATAGCATTGAATACGATTGAAAGGAGGTTTCATCAAAAGTGCCTGGCCTTTTTCCGGGTTCTTCATTATTTTTTTTTTGTTTCCTCCTGGTACATTTCGAACAATTAAAAATTTAACGAACTTTGATCACCAATCGACGAAATATTTTCCTTTAAATCGAATTAATTTATATATTTTCAATGTTATTTACAACAACAAAAAACACACACAACAGGTATATAAATTGAAATTCTACTCAAGACAATTGGATGCTATAGTTAGATCAAATTTGATCGATTGGACGAGCAGAAAATTAATGAAAGAACAGGATGAGTCCAGGCACACCTTTTGGTAACGTCATCGTGACACCTTGAATGGCTTATATAACGAGTGCCACTGTGTGTTACAACAGAGAGTAGTGTCCATCGTGTATATCTATGTTTGTATAGGTAAATTTATGTAGACGCGTATGTATTTACGTGTACAAGAAGCATACGAGAGTGGATATTTTCGTGCGAGCACCTTCGTCTTCTCTCTCTCGTCCATTGGAATTTTTGTTTTAACAGACATACGATAACCTTGAACGTTAATTTCGTTTTCAACGACTTCTGCCAAAAACTCAAACTTTATTCTAGATTTTTAAATAGTTCAGCAGGAAATAAAATAAAATCATATTAAAATACATTCTCGCGTTACGATTATATTAAAAAAGAAAAATTGTTAACATTTGAATTATCAAACGATTGATACACTTTTTTTTCATAATTATCGGAATGATGTTAACACAACGTGGATTATTCTATTTTATTTCTATCAAATTTATATCGAATTGATAAATGAGATCAAAAAATAATTTGGATAATTTGATCTTTTGAAATAATATAAAGGTGACAAATAAAAGAAAGAAATTAAAAATTATGATTACCCATTTCTTGCTTCGCTCCGTGTGTCTGATGCCCGTTTACGCGCATCGTTGACTTCGAAGTTTTCTTTTCATACTTCTGCAAAACTTCGTTGGACGATCACTCGCGTTTCTGTAAAAAAGAAATAAATAAAAAAGAAATAAATAAATAAAAAAACAAAATAATTAATGAGATGAAAGGAGTAAGATCGTTTTTTAATATTCGTTTTTTGTACCGGTTTCATTTATCATTTTTTGTAGATTCCTACGTAGAAAAGTAATAAATAAACTTTGTAATATAAAAATGAAAAGAAAACGAATAATAATAATAATACTTTCTCAAATAATAATACTTTAACAAATAACAACAAAATTCGAAACTTTTTTTCGGATTTGCAAGTTCAAATTCGTTTACGGATATTTTTTTAGTTTAACTTTAATAAAATATCACATATTATATTTTTTACAATGATCTAGAAGGAAGAAATAGAGGAGGAGAGAAATCGAGCTTATTCGACGACCAGTACCGTTTGTCAACGGACCGTGTATAATACAAAAATACATGGAATGTGGAAAACGGGTTGTTGAACGTGCAGCGAACTTGCGCTTCGACCGATGCATGGACCCGCATATCTCGCGATTTAGAAAGGTGCACATGCACGATCGTATGCACGTGTGTTTCTAGATATAGTTGACTGACAATTTTTATTACTTTCTTGGACGCCGAATTATTCATATATTTTCATTCTTTTCCTCTTTTTATTTTACAACAACAACAAAAAAGAAAGAAAAAAAGGGGGGGGGGCGGAATATTATTTTTGGCAATTAAATTTCATTTCATATTTAAATGTGGAAGTATTTATAATTATTTTTTCTTTTATTTTATTCATATTTTTAAACATTTGTGATCGATATTTTGTAAAATAAACTACGTTACATTTATATAGTAAGGGCAAGGTTGCATCACGAGTTATAAATACTGGCAATTTATTTAAAATAACCCACCCCCTAATAATTTATATATATATATATAAAATATTTATTGTCAGAAATGATGTATAGATTTATTATCAATTTGTAATAAATCATGCTTAATGTAAAATATTTATTACGTACAAAACAATCAAATGCTATTTTACAATTTATAATATAAAGTTTAGATAATACCTGTACTTAAATACCATTTCATTTGAAAACTTTAATTTTTTTTTTTTTTTTTTCATTATACCATGCACAAATAACGAGAGAATTCTTTTTTACGGGTGGAAAAGGAAATAATAAAAGCGATTGAATTTCGTTCAACTAAAAGTTGTAATGGATTTCAAGGGGGAACGAAAGTACACCGTCAAAGCTGCCAACCCTTTGAGCGTTTCGAATTTTGCATCGTGAGCTTCGAGCCTTCGACCCTTTTCATGCTTTGAAGGCATTTACGCTTTTGACCCTTTTTATTATTTCTTTTTTTCCTTCCTCTACGTAGTCGTTCGTTCATTCGCTTGGAAATTTGTTCTCGGCCTACGCAAAGCATAAAATACGCAATACACGTATGCGTGTTTATGTGCGTGTGAATGATACGAAGAAGATAATTAGTTTTGTGTTACTTTGTTAGTAAAATCGTAGAAAAGTTGATCTCATTTGTTTAATTTTTCTTTTTAAAATGAAAAGATTTTTTTATCATTTATACAAGTATATTATATATAAAATTAATACGACTATATCTTTATATTCTATCATGAAATTGAATAATTAAATACATTAAAGTATAAATTATTGGTATGCATTTATAATTTTATTGCTGTTGGTTCAAAAAAGAAAGTAGTACGTAATTATTCTTTATGCTATACTGAAAGCTTGATCTAAATTATATGCATACAGAATTAATCTACATTCATATTTTATTGTAGTTAAATTACTGCTATATTATTAATTATTTTTT